TATATATATATATTTTAAGAAACCCATCAAAATAACTAATCTCACCGGATGTATATATTAAAGGAATAGACGAGTTAGTTCAATTTAATTTTGAGTTTAATTTCTATTCATTGGTATTGTAAAAAACAAAAATTATATACTATTAATTACCCATAAAAAATTAATTCTAACTTTTAAAAATGATTATTAAAAGAGTAACAAACTTACAGGAAAGTAACCCTACTAAACAACTTAGCTGAGTGCCTACCATTTTTTTCGATTCAAATATCAACCAGTAACTTTCCTACTAATTATATTTAAAAATAACACGCATAAACTAACATACTTAATTAATTTGCTACTTTAATTCTCAAATAATCAATAATTATATATTAAAAATGAATAATTTTCTTCCACAAAAGTATTTTTAGAAATTTTTCTTCAGCAAAAGAGTTGCTAGAAATTCTTTTAACTTTTTATCTTATTTGATTTTTATTTATCATAATTATTTATAAATTAAATTTTATATGTTTAAAATAAATTATCAATAAATAAAAATAATATTATATTATAATATAAATTATCTATAATCTGAAATGTAATTTATATATTATAAAATATTTATTTAATTTTTTTAAAATATAATTTATATATTTAAATATAATTTTTTTATTTGTATATAATATATTATAAATTTTAGTTACATATATTACTTTTATATCCAGATTGAAATAGAACATCCAATTATTTTAAAATACTTATCCTTAAAATGAAGTTGATTTTGTTCCGCTAGCTCTTGGTTGTAAACTTGAGATTAACAAATAAATTAATAGTAAAATGTAATGAAGAGTCGAATCAAGCTCATTTCCCCTAAAACTAAAAGATAAGAAGAATCCTTGACAAGAATGCACATGCACAATTATTCCGATATATTATACAAGAATAATATCATTTTTAAACTAAGCTACTTGGAAGGCTTGCAACCACTTCTTCAAACAAAAGAAAAAGCGTGAAAAGCCCCACATATCTCATATCTCATATCTCATATCACATATGTAGTACAAATATTCGAAACCACTCAAACAAGCCATTTTTGAAACCAGATAAGATATATCCTACGGAGGATTGATTAAGCTCATTTTGGAAGTTTGCAATTACTTTCCCTCGTGTAGGGAATTTGATGAATCAACTTATTTAATATATGCTTAAATTGCCTTTTGATTTTTCGTTTTATTTAATTTATTCTCTCTATTGAAATGTGTCATGTTTTCTTTTTCTTTTTCACAGAAGTGTTTGAATTCTATATCCTATATTCATGGGGTGTAAATGAGGCTGAGTAGCACTTGTCAACACATTATCTACAAATTTTATGGTTTTCAGCAATTTTTACACTTGAGTTATACTCTGATATAAGTCTAGTCAACTTTTTTTTTTCTTTTTCCTTTTATAACTTTTTGAATTATAAATTTATTAATTAACTAACTTTGATGATATTCGATCAAACAATTTTAACATCTCACTCTTTATTAATCTCTTCAATCACTATTTCGCAACGTAAGTGATCTCAAATTATCCTTTTTCTAATTTTTTTTGACAATATAAGAATAATTGTGACTATAATTAATAATATTCTATAAATATTATATGTAATAAGAATTTATTTTTTAATACAATTTAAAATAATAAGACATTAATTTATTTTATTAGTATTATTTTTTAGTAACTTCAATTTAGAAAGAAAAAACATTCAAGACCACTAAATTAATATCAAATTATGTTCCCTAACTAAAATTTAAATTTGTTTCATAATTAATATAACCCTTTCTATATATATAAATTAGGATAAATATATTGAATAAGAATATTTTTAATTTATTAGAGAGAATTTGTTTTTTTCACATCTTTAAGAAAAATGTTCGTACGACTTTTTCTTCAACGAAAACGTTTTGGAAATTTTTTATTAATTTTTATTTCTTTTAGTCTTTTCCTTTTCAACTTTATTTGTGAATTGAAATATTCTTTAGAATAAATTATCAATGGTTAAAAATAAAATTGTATCACAATATTTATAATTTATGCAACCCTAAAATATAATTTATACATTCAAAATATTTATTTATTATAAATTTTAATTATATTAAATAAATATTTATCATGTACATAACATATGATAAAGTACTATATCATATTTTTAATTTATTATATTTAAATGTTTAATTATTGAGATTAAATAAAAAAGACAAAAGTACTTTCATATTTTAAAATTTGTTCATATAAATTGTGGTGTAGAAACTAAATATATCTTATATCTGTTAATTTTTAACTGATATGTATAAAGTATGTTGCTTTTATTCTACATTAGTTAACAACACTTACACTAATCATATAACTGATGTGAAAATATTTTAACCAATGTAGAATGTTGTCTTTGTATTAATGATTTTTATACACTCATAAAATATGTAAATTATATATATATATATCATAAGTACTAGTGAAATCAAAACATTTGATATATTTATTTATTTTTTATAAAAAAATTTAGAAACAATTGCGTATCATTTATAACAAGAGATAAGAAGAGAGAAATAAAAAAAATAATTGTGTGAGTAATGAGAAACTATCATCTATAATAAAAATGTAATTTGTAGTTAAAAATGTTAAAAGATTAAAATGTAAAAAGAAAAGTTTTCATTAATTTATTTTTTTAAAAATCATACAAGATAAAATAATCTCATTAAAAATGAAGATAAAAAATAGTTAAAAAGATATATTCTCTTTTATATGTCGTTATAAATTACATATAATACAATTTATCACAAATATGAAACGCGCATTGGACCAACTACAAAGTTCAAAACTAAAATAAACCCAACAAAACTCATAAAAAATAAAATAAAATAAACCCAACAAACCATTATAGAATAACATTGATAGTTGAAAAACAAATCTACCATGTGACAGTGACATGCACCGAAAGGCAAAATTATATATGTATGTGATCATTGATATTGCATAACAACGTACTATAGTCCAAAAACAAGGAAGTTGGACATGCGATTGCCTGAATAAGATTGGATGTCATGGTTTGCATCTGTTAATGCATTTAGTGACAATCCAAACAAATAGGCGCAGGCAAAGGAAAAGTGTGAGGAGTCCTATGAGTAAAATCCAAATATAAAGAACTACTATAAACATGTTGGAGGTTGCACTCAAAACGGGGTGTGGGGTGGTCATTTCCGCAGCAAACCAGTAGGTTAGAGTGAGGCTGGTGAGGGTGATGCACATCCCTATCGAGAAAAGCCACGTGAAAAATCGGTTATTCAGAGGGAGTCCACTTACCAGCAAGAGACAAAGAGCCAAAGATGAAACCAAACATAACGTGTTGAAAAATAGGAAGACAGCATAATTGTCTGGTTTGATAAAAGCTAAGACAGCTTCTCCAGGACATGGATTCGGAAATACTTGCTTGTATGATGAACATGTCTCAACTAAACCCTCCTTTGTTGGCCAAACACCACCTGGTTGGAGAAATTATTAGATAATCATCTCAAGCAAACATGTATATATATATATAGTCTTTAACTTTTTTATACATAAGTAAGTGTAATTAATAGTTTTTCGCAAGTTAAAAAACTTGAATACATATCACCTAGTAATCCTTTAGAACATGGACACTTGGTGATGTTAAACTACCTATTAATTTCTCACCTGGTGGATTAAGAGCACTTTGAAAGGTCATAGTTGCGATTACTGTAGCCACCAAGCTTAGCATCCCCCTCATGTCCTTCAACCATTCACCATTATTCTTGTGTTCCAACCAATTCCCTACTTTTCTTAAAACTCTTCTGCACCCTTTCATCTCTTCTCTAGACTCACTTTCAACGTTCATTGTAACTGATCTCTGCTATATATACCTTCAAGGAAATAAATTGAATGTGTAGGTTTAATTGGTTTAAAATAAATTTCATTTTGAGCAACGAAATTTGGATGAGCACTGTCAAATCACATCTATACTTTTAATAATGATACGTAAAGAAAAGAAAACAAAAATAAATTTATTCTGTTTATTGAATCCTGGCTAATGAAAGATTAATATCATCGATTATTGGAATTAATGTGTTCTTTAAACTAGTATTCTGCTTATTCCTCCTCATAGAAAATTATTAATTTTCACATATCCGGTCGCTAATTGGATCTTAAATATACCATTTTAAACCCACAAATTTTGTTTTTTTTTTTTCTTGAAAAATAAAACTGAATAATCTAAAGCTTTTGAGAAACCTTAAAGTAAAATTAAGAGATCTAACTTAATCACGAATTACTGTAAATCTCTTTTAATACCAAGTTTGATTTTGATGGATAAAAAAAAGAAGATTTCCATGGATGAAAAAAGAAGAAATAAAGTTTTTTTTTTTTATTTTTTTTTATTTTTTATATATTTATAATATCAACTTTTGTAAAACAAAAATGAGAGCAATTATATTCTATGTATTAAACAAACATATATACACTTATAAATATAAGTATAATATGCAAATATAAATAATTAAAAAACAAAGAAATTTATTTTAATTCACAGGAAATTAATTTATTAGTAAGAAAATATAAATTAAAACATTAAAAATATAAATGTTTGCAATGTTCAATTTTTAAAATATAAAAAAATCGGAAATTGGTTTGGGATTCCCGTGGTGCTTAGTTGGAACTGATTGAGATTGAGTTTACATATAGTTAATTTTTTTTTGGATAAAGTTAATATATAATTGAACTTTTTTACTAATTTTAGTCCATGGAAAGCAGCTAGTTAATTTCATTTTCTTAACTATTTTCTTATCTATAAATATTTTAGGGGAAAATTATTCTTAAAAAAACCCTAAGACACATATTAATTACATACCTTGGCTCAAGTATGGTAGCTCAAGATGTTATTTGCCCTTTTGCAGCAGCAGCCAAGCAAATGTAAGAATTATACTTGCAAATTAATTGCTGAAGTGAATGGTGAAACTGAAATGTGCTTTTGAAGCAAGGAAATATATATATATATATATATCACTATCTCAAACCTTGATAGGTTGGCTTTTTGCTTTGCTTTTTCAATAAGAGTGATATCAAGCCCACAAAGCAACGAAGCCAGAGATAGAGCATCTAAAG